GTTTGCTGGGGGGGGATTTTTTTAGACCAGATCAGGTCAATGTCAGGGAAAACTCACGAAAAGTATGACCATAGAGATCATGTAATGAAGTGAATATTTTACACTTCAGCTAGTTTTGCTGAGTGTGGAAAACCTGTTAGCAAAGTTCACCCAAGCAAGAAATACAATCAAAATTATCATAGATGGCCACCCATTTTAGAGGAGAAAAGCGCTCGTCTTAGACTGATGGATGTCCTGGATAGTGGATAAGTGGTCGTTTGTACAGGTGATTGTCTTGAATAGGTGGCAGTTAGACAAGGTTTGACTACTCTTTCAGCACATATGCCTAGGCCAAAGAAATTGGAAAATAAAACACTAACATACAGACAAAATGTTTTCATTTGAGTTTGAGCTGAGATAAACACATTGTCACATTAATGATAGAGCAGAATAATGGAATAACTAGACAGATTTTCTTTGATTTTCTTTGAGTAAAGAGAAGCACATCGACACCATGATGGTCATTTAGTGTAAGAAAAAAAGTTATACAGACAGACAGAAACAACAGAAGGAAAGCTAAGAAGTAGGACCTACCAGAAGCGCCCTCAAACCACCCGTTAACTAGACAGACACACAGACACAAACAATAGAAGGGAAAGAAAGAAGTGGGACCTGCTAATGGTGCTCTCCTACCACCTACACAAACATGAACAACAGACGGAAAGAAAACAAAGCTGGACCTTTGAACCTACCAGTGACACCCTCCAATCCCCCACACAAAAGAGGGAGAGAAGAAAAATAGGTTCTATCACTCGCACCCTCCAACAACCCTCGCAAAATCTCTCCCTGACTTGATTGCACTTTAACTTTTTTCAGTTTTTTCCGGCCTCTGTTAATTTTACCTTACAGTTTCAAGGGGAAAAGCTAACATTTTGTTTGTTGTATCGCCTACTGTATGGTTGTATTGCTTTTATCTTATGTTTCTCCGACCCCTTCTGGCCATCTTTTCATGTCTCTGTATCCATTTGATCTATGATTGTCTGCTCTCACTGCTATTACTATATTGTCTGATAATTGTAGTCTTGACAGAAGTCCAAATCATTTTAATTGATGCTATTTATGTACTCAAAGCTGGGAGTTGAGCCAACTTGTTCTCTGAAAGTCTCCTTTCTCACCCTGTCACTTCTCGTGATGTTCAAAGTATTTTTAGGCATCTCATTTCACAGGTGTGAAACTTATAGGCCTACCATAAGTTATAGTCAATAGAAAATAACCAAAATCATTACAAGAGAAAATTGGAAAATGAATCAACTCACGAAATGTCCGTGCCCTGGGGCCTTGGTACACTGGAATGGAAAAATATTGTGTTAAGTTTAGTTAAGTTTTAGTAAGAGTTTTACGGCATTTACAACACAAATATGTCATAAGCGCCAAAGATTAGAGGTGTTACTAGAGAGTAACATGCAAAGAAAAGAAGGAGAGAGAGGGACGATGGATGTTTGATAGGAAAGAATAAGTAAACCACACCAGAGTGCCCACCAATCACCCGCTAAATATTGTTAAAAGGTTAAAAAATTGGGTTTTTTAGAAAACTATTACTTTTCCAAAACTCACTTTTGGTCTCTGTGATAATGTCTTTTTCATCATGAAGGCCTACCAATTGGGTAGCAACTCGACAAAATGAGTCATCTGTCAGACAAAACATTCTCGATGTCAAACTAAAGACCTTTTCAAGCCCTACAAGGGGGTGAGAACTGTATCAGTCTAGCTTCTTTGGTTCCAAAGTTACAGTCGCTTGAGCTTGGGGAGTCAGAAACACACAGTTGTGAGAAAATTGAGAGTTTTGCCCGATATCTTGAAACAGTTGAGTGTGACAAGAGACTCATTTGTTGTGTTGCAAAGCAAATAACATTAGTGTCAGTAATCTTGAGATATATAGCCTGTAGTATGAAGGTAACAGCATGTAATACTGATTGACAGTATCTTAAGATACCAAAAGCAAAAAAAAACAAAACACACACACTTGTACTAGATTAAAAAGACGGATAACAACTAAAATTAATTTTAAAAAAGAATATAAATCAGAATGAAGGAAGCATGCAGAGAAAGAGAGAGGGAGAGGGAGGGAGAGGGAGGAAGAGGGAGGGAGAGAGAGGAAGAGAGAGAGAGAGAGAGAGAGAGAGTAAGAGAGAGAAAGAGACAGTCAGACAGACAACAGGCAGGCGGGCAGGCGGGCAGGCAGGCAGAGAAACAGACAGACAGACAGACAGACAGACAGACAGACAGACAGACAGACAGACAGACAGAAAAACAAGTCCTGTAAATTGCATAGTGTTGTTCTGTGTAAGATTGCAGTTTAGAATATGATCTGATTAGCTCAGAGTTTTGAGTTACAACATTAATGTCCTCAGTTTTTCTACTCACAGTTCATCATTATCCCTCACGTTACTCAGCTTGAGTGCTGTGAGCGAGTAGTTGTGTTCCAAAGGCTGGCCACTGAGGAAACAATTGTATATTTCTCTTAATCTTGTCTTAAGTCCCAGAGTAAACACTCACAGATATAATTATGGTCTCATGTGACAATATATATACATATATGACATTACCACACTCGAGTGTGTGCAAGGAGGTGTATTTCGCCCAAGCCAGGCTAAGGCCAAATGAGAAGAGAAAAGAGAATTGCAAAGCAGAATATTTTGGCAAAGATACAAGGCGAGGATCTCGCCAGATTTAAAGCTTTATTTTTAAAAAATTTTTAAGATTCATTTGAGATGACAATTTAAACCGAAAAGTAGGCCTTGTGATTATGTCATACAGTCGAACCTGCCCTACGGCCACCTCTATAAGACGGCCACCTGCACAAACGGCCACTTTCCATTTCCCCCTTGCGTTTTTGCTATATAATCTAACTGTGTAAAATGGGCACCTGTCCAACACGGCCACGGCCACCATATTTTAACACACAACCCCTATCACACCAAGCAATAACACCTGTCTTAGACGGCCACTATAGTGACTCCATTACGTTTTATCATAAATTGTGCATTGGCCCCTGGCGTTGTGGGCGAGCCGTCATAATCCAATTACCTGTCGTTGTTGTTAGGTAGTCCAACAATCATGTTGTGTTAGCCCCTCCCACTGTTGACCAATAGGTAACACATTTTCAGCTGCTGGTGAAGTAAGCGTGTGATTCCTCCTAACCCATAAGCCCCGCCCAGAACTCATACACAAATCATTAGAGAGATGAAAGGTCACTGTTTAGCCAGTCTTTAACAATGTAACAATGGACATCAACATGAACTTGCGACAGAAGTGTCGCTCATTCTCCGAGTGGTGGCGACCCGTTACCATAGCACTCGGTCCTCCTTGTCTGACACATTTAATTTTATTGTCACCCTTGCACAAAAGCAGCAACAACAACAACAAAAACTAGCAAAAACAACAACCACAATAACAATTACAACAATAACAACAACAACAACAATGCGACTACCTTCGGTTGGAACCTCAGAAAGGATTGGTTTATTCTCTTCATCTTGATCAGTCCTGCCTAAGATGGCGACCTGTCTAATACAGCCACTTTTCTCCTCGACAATGGGTGGCCGTCTTACGCAGGTTCGACTGTATTTATCAGTATTTATTCATTTTTTGGGGGGTAATTATAATGATTGCTGAGAGTGTATATGGAACAGATTGACAATAAATTTTCACTTTAACTCCCGTATGCTAAAGCACTGCTTTTGGGGGGTTAAACCACATTTTTTGTAGCAGAACACACATATACAAGGCATGTAAAACCATCGCAAATCGATTGTTTTTCGGAAAATCTCATACTTATATAATTGCAAAACATCACATTACAGAGAAAAGGGGAGAGGACAAAACCTCTTTAACCCCCCCCCCCCCCTTTCCCCCATATTTTTTTTTCGGCCAAGGGCTGGAGGGTATAATAGTATAATAATTGCCCCAAGAACCCAATCCTCCCCAGTTTAAAAAAAACGTGTGAAATATTTAAGGACGATACCCAATTAAAATTACTACTAAGCTTAAATCAATATAGGCTAGTTCCAACGAAAATGATTAAACGTGTAAAAAATGTAGCAATTTGCAATGACTATAAAGTCCAAATTTGTGAAAACATGGTGGATGTATTTGCCTTATTATTTTGGAAGAGAGTATTCGGACTGAAAAATAATAAAAGATCAACGAAAATAAGTAAGACTAAACACTTGGCATCACCAAAATGTGTATAGATTTATTTAACGTACTATACAAAAAAGCTACATTGTCTAATCAAAGATGTCAAAGAATCAAGTTTATCTTACGTAGTTTGCCAGGTGGGTCCTCGGGGGAGCCATAAATCTTCATTGCTGTATCTGCCTGTGCCCCAGTCGGGCGGGACTTTGGCGCTAGGATCCGACTTTCTGAAAAGCTCGATGGATGTCATTGTTTATGTTTACTCTACCATCAACTTCTTTACACGAGAAATTTCGGCACAGTTTATCTATCGAGTCTAGCAGATGCGAAGCCTTCAATCATGCGCTCCCGTCGCCATTGACTCTCCCTTGGCTTCGCATCGTTTGTTGTCTAGGGCAACAATAGCTTCAACGGGAGTGCTGCCCCTTGTCTGTCAGAGAAAAGTGGATTGGAATTGGTATAGAGACTTCGGG